ATACCTCAGTCAAAAGGTTTAACAACATTTCAACCCAGCCTCCTCTTCTCTACAGCCCTTTCCTGAGTTTCTTTTCGCTCCTTTACAGGCCCTGCTGCACGTGTGTGGTTTCTCTCTTAGCCCCCAAGCTACCTCCTGTGTCAGCAATGCCTACAGAACTTGGAACAGATCCTTGGGGCAAGGATATAATTTATTCTCTCCTTCCCCTGGGAGCACCCCCAAGCACAAGCACCCAAAGGGACCCTCTCAAAACACCAGAAAAGGATGGAGAAAGGGGCCAGATCCCTTCCTCCTGGAGTTGAGCCAGCACTGACATATTTGTCAGCAAACCACAGCATCCCTTTCTGCTCCTCGCCTCCATGTCCTCTCCTCCTGCTCACAACCCCGTCTCACACCTGGGAATAAACCAAGAAAACACCAAGATCCCTGCCCATTACATTTTCGAACCAGAAATTAATGTCTTAAGAATGAAATTAAATGAAATTGTGTCACCCTGTTCCTCACAGTACCGTGAGAAAGGCATTATGAACGAAACAGTCATGTCTTCACTGAAAGGAAACAAAAAGCCATTTCAGGAGTTTGTTTTTCAAAGAAGGTGCCAATTCTATCATGCTCTCCTCACTCCCAAATAAATCCATCAACAAGTACACAGAGTGAGTTTTACTTAGGTTTTCAACATTTTACTAGCAATTTGTGAGTATTAATCATAATTTCAAGCCTAAAGTGTGTGAACAAATTACACATGTAGGCAAATATGAACAATGTATGCAAAATGTAAAGTCATTAGTACATTTATTTACCTAAAAGTACTGGAGCAGTACCTCCTCCACACTTCTCCAATTTCCAACAATATCTTATCTTCCAGGTTTAAAGGTTGCATGACAAATTCTGAACTATCTCTTGCATCCATCAACGGATATAACAACGTTTATGCAACTGGAGATAAATCTATTATTTTTACAGAAATTCTTATTTTTCAACTTCAAAGAAAATACGTTTCCTCAAACTTATGCCAAATACAATTTGCATTCTTCACTGGATCGCAGTAGACAGAAACTGTTACTTTTAAAGTGAGGTCTGGATTGAATTTTTAATAGTCTGGTTTATGTTATTCTAGCTTGCCTTTGAAGAAAGTATGAATGCAATTTATGCCTTCTACAAGGATCTCTTTCACCTTGCAAGGACTTCACTGGAAACACAGCCCACCTATTCTTCAACTATTAGAGATTTCAGAAAAACGGATTCTACAGCCTCTGTTAATAATAGAATGAAAATGATTATCAGCATTCTGTAGTGTCCTGTAAAGGGTGTAGATAATTTAATAAGAATTTGAGATGACACTCATCAATTTTTCTTTTTGGACACTGCAAAGAGCTCTGTCTCTAGATTTACTCCAACAAGGAAACAATTTGACACAAATCTTTGGATCTTCCACCAAAGAAGTAAAATCCCAGCAGATTTCAAAAGACATTTATTTTTTGGAAAGAAATCTCCCAGTGCTTGTGCATAATTTTTTGGACAATTTTGAAGAAATACATATTAAATGACGACAGTAAATAGCAGGGGATCTACTAGCTAAATTAGGTTGCTTTTTTGAAGGTTTTTTGGGCTCAGAAGATAAGGTAATGCAATATTAATCTGGGAGATTTCTAGGAAATGCAAATGTTAAAAAATAACTCTTGCATAGTATCTGCTTTATATGACATTTTTGGCTGTTGATTTTCAATGCAGTCTTATCCACTCCACCTGTACCTGTATCTTTCTCTGGGGCATCATTTGCCTTTAAACATCCCTGTAAGCTGTTTCTCACAGAAACTTCTATTTTATTTGTTCAACAGAGAACTGAAAATAGTACATCTTTATTACTTAGTTGCAGATCATTTCACATTGGCATTCACCAAATGGAAACATTACTTTTAAGATCTTGGGGTTTTTTTATAGGGCCATTCAAAGTTTCTAGCTTCATCTATATTACTTTGGCACCAGGTTTCTGACTGAGCTGACATTTAGATAACAGAGGATGGATTCCAGACCCTCCTGGGCTTATAAAGTAAAGCACTGCAACTTTGAACCTGTGCAGTATGTCTCCCAAGTTACAAGCAAAGAACTGAAGAAATTCTGGTGAAATTTGGTTTGGAACAATGCTGTTAAATTGCAAAGAATGGGATTATGACCAGGGTCATAATAGCAGCATTTTAAAATTATTTCTATATATATACATCTTTAAATCCTTGTACTGTAGCATATTTTTTAAGACTACTGGGAAATTTCTAAAATATTTTCTTAGGTAATAAAATCTCCTGCCTTTCCATCTATTTTTATGAAATACTCCAGAGTAATTCAAGCACTGATGAAAATATAACTGTAAAAATAATTGGATACTTTACTATCAAAATTGCTTCTGCTTTCTCATTTCTATTCATATTTCCTATCTCTTTTTTTATGGGCTATACACCCCCATCTTCTAAGGCTTTCCATTTACAACCCTTGTTATGGAAAAGTCATATCAAAAATCAGGCAAAAAAATTAATGGCTAAATATCATAGCTATTAAATTAATAAATATACCTCTGTAATTAGTGCATTGAATACGTCTCCATATACACACATCCACACACATATACACATATTGATGTTGACAATTAGATACAAAGTCCCAAGGAATGCTCAACAATATAAATCATGTATGTGGAAGTCAGTGGTCAGACAGGTCCTTAACATACCCCTATCAATAATCTTTATCTAAATACAGTGAGGTAGCACTCTGATATGATACTATCTAAGGTCTCCACTCTGTAAAGGGGGACCTTAAACATGTGCCTAGGGGGTAACCAAGAACACAATCCAGTCATTGAGAACATAAACCTTTAGCAACATTCAAAATTCTCTGGAATTCATAACACTAAAGGAAAACAAATCCAAGCCTTAATGTTTTAACAATACACTGGGAAATTGGTCAAAAGCTGAGACCAGTGTCATGAGCCTGAAAGCAGCTACTGAAAGATTTTACTTATGAAAGACTATTACAACACCAACTATATCAATGTAATTCTATCAGTATAGTACCTTTCAGCCTGGACTTGACTTACATAACAACCTTTCAGTTTATAAGAATAACCTACACTAATTATGGGAAATTCTGTCTACTTCATAAGCAACCTCAAAATGATAAGCATAATGAAAGCAAAAGACAAAGATGAAAAGAAACACAACATTACTGACTTCTACTACCAACAAATGGAGTCAGGGAAAATTACACAAATGCAAATGTCAACTTAAAACATTGCCACAAAATGAGGGAAAGAGATGTATTGTCTTAGAAAGACAGAATAGTTGAGACTGGAAGGGACATCTGTTACGTCTCCAGTTCAAACACCCTTCCTCAAAAGTTGTGTCAGCAGAGCAGATTGCTCAGGGACATTTGGGTTTTGAGCATGTCCAAGAATGGAGACTGTACAAATCTCTGTACAAATGAAATACATTCCAGTATTTGACAAAAGTCAGTCAAATAAGTGATATTTTTTTTTTTTAGTGTTTGAGTGGACTCTGGAATAAAGTTTTAGAATATGATCACCTCCTTAGAATATGATCACCACCTTTCAGAATATGATTCCTCCTTAAAAATGAGCAGAAAACCAAGTTTCCATATTTTGAATGGAAAAGCTCATGCTTAGAAAGTTAAAACAAGCAGTTATTCAGATGGGATAGGAGAGAAATCTGCTATCTTTGCTATGTACTCCTGGAGCTTTAGGTGATGCTAGGAGACCACAACAGATAAAGACAGACAGACAGGTTAGCATATACGAATCACAGACACATCAGGAAACTGCCAGAAACTAAAAGGCAATGCAGACAAGCCTTTGCCATTTTCAGTATAAATACCAGCAAGAAACTTCCAAGGTACAAACACAGATAGTTAAACTAAGGAGCTAAAAGCCAAAGACACGGAAAGCTTTCAGCTCACTGTACTGTCACCGAAAGACAAAGCAGGATTCTAAGACTGTCGCTAAATTCTGCCACAGTCTTTTCTGACAATGCTTATTTTATCTGCTTACAGTTCCTAAATTTGATTAACTTCTTCAGCCAGAAGAAAGACTTTGTTTAAAAGCACACAGTGTACTACAGCTTACTCCTTGCTGCTGAGTGTTACCATCAACAGATGAAGACAAACCGAAATAACAGACTTTAAACATACTTCTTAGCTCAAGAGAAAATTCATCTAGACAACAACTTTGTCAATTCTCATTTCTTTTCTACATAGTTTGCCCCATATCTAGAGATATCAAGAGAAAATTCATCTAGACAACAACTTTGTCAATTCTCATTTCTTTTCTACATAGTTTGCCCCATATCTAGAGATATCAAGAGAAAATTCATCTAGACAACAACTTTGTCAATTCTCATTTCTTTTCTACATAGTTTGCCCCATATCTAGAGATATCAAGAGAAAATTCATCTAGACAACAACTTTGTCAATTCTCATTTCTTTTCTACTCCCTTTGCCCCATATCTGCTTGTCCTTAGTAACAATGAACTCTGGCAGATTTTTGATATTTTATTAAATGTGGTAAAAATTTGCATATCTTATGATGCTTTAGAATGGTCTCCTCTGATTGTTACAGAAGTCAGTTTTAATTTCAATCCATCCACAAAAAACTGTTCTACATACAGACAAAAGAATGAAGTAACGACCAAAGGAGTATAGATATAATCAAGAGAGTAGACCAGAACCCTTGAATTCTGTCACTTCCAGGTGAAAGAGGGAAGAGAATGAAAAGGAAACTCATCAGCTGATGCTGCCTGTAACCACCTCATCTAATGCAAAAGGAAACATTGTAAAGCACATGTAGTCAGGTATAAGACACTTCTCAGTTGGCAAAAAAAAGAAAGGCAAGGGGAAAAAGTGTATGATTAAAAAGAGGAAAAGAGAGAGAAAAATACAGATTTTTTTTTTTTTCCCCAAATCATGGCCATGTGCAGAATATACAGAAAAGTCCTTACCTTTTTCACTGACACTTTCACTTTCTATCTCCACATCTTCACAGCTAGTATATTCTGGTGTTGATGCCCCTTCTTCCTCTGAGCTACTAACTGACATCTGCCTTTTCTTTCCGCCTCTTTTTGCTCTATGAGGCTTTGGAGGGGATGGCCGCACTGATTCCGACTGGTCAGAGCTAAGGGAATCATTCCTTAGCATGGTCTCCATTTTCTCCCGCTTTGCTTTTCGCATGAGAATAGCAGAGCTAGGATCAAGGCGGCTCTGTTTTATAAAGGAATCGTGGTTCTTGTATTCTATGTGTTCTATAGGAACTGGACTATGCCTGGGAGTTGGTGGGCTATGATTAGTTAATTGTTTAGAAACAGAAATTCTTACATCACCTGTTCTGTCTATAGAGTACGACCTCTGAGTTTCCACAAGAGATTTTCTGTCCTGAGTTCCCTGTAATTGTGAGCGTTTTCCTAATTTATTCTCAGGTACCTCCGCTTCCTCCATTTCTGTGTGTGGCAAAGCTACATCACTGTGTCTTCTCTCGTGTCGTGCTTTAGAAACTTTGGCGTGCATGCGCATCTGCTGCTCCTCAGGGTGTGGTTTTACAGGGTATCTTGCCAGATTGGGGTCACTCTTGTAACGGGTATGATATTCATCTTCCTTCCTTTGTTTGTCATCATCAGGCACTTTGCCTTCCTCACGTTTCTCTGGCAAGTCTGGGTAATCCTGTGACTTGCCTTTCTCCAGCCTTCTACCTTCATGCCGCTCTTTACGCTCCCTGTCATCTGTTGGTCCTTCTTTTTGAAGTGAGGATTTTGGCACACGCTTACGCTCACTCTTTACACCTTTGCCATTCTGGTCAGAAACCAATACTGCCTTCTTCCTACAACGAAAAGGAGTACAGTAATATGAAGAATTGATTGGAAAATAGAAATATTTGCATACAGTTATGGAAAACAAATCCATAAAAAGGGTAAGCAATGGCAAAACAGAAAATACTGAATCCATTACTACAAATTAAATGTATAAATCCTACCATCTTAATTTTATTTTTCAATAGCAAACAACTTCCAAAGTCCACAAAAACATAAATTATGAATGGTCCAATTAATGAGTAAAATCAAAAAAGAATATTGACATGCATAATTTACCCACGTAAGCAAGAAGACCCAGAGCTGTCTTTGTAGTAACTGCAGCATTATGACAGAGTACTGGAGTATGTTCTGCATTTTAATGGCAGCAGTCATGAGAGTTACAGACTAACCACACAATTCACTTCAAGTGCCCTGACAGCATAGATAAAAATACCACCAAATGGAGTATCTACCACAATAATATCACAGAAAGAAGTAATATAGATATAAAAAAATTCAAAAGATAATATATCCAGAAATAATATTTAAACAAGTTTATCTTTGAAACTTTAAAAGTTTTGGAAGCATGCAAAGGAAAGCAAATTGATTGCTTGAGATAAATTAATGGTATTCCTTTCTCCAATAATAAAAGAGGATGAGAAGATTATTTCTCTATGCAGACATAAGTACAAAACAGTAAATAATGAAGTTGCGTGATTTTTTTTCTCTTTCATATTCTGCAAGCCAATAAGGAAGCCAAATAATCATAAAATTCCCTTATGCTGGATATTTTTATTTCTCTAATCATTCCAACTGCCCTTTCATTTAGCAGTTCACATATGAATCCATTGATTTTGAAGAAGGAGGAACACAGCTATACAATGTATTTGAGAAGAATACACACCAGGACAAAGTCACTAGGACTATGTTCTGTGGCACTGAATCTTGCCTTCCACAACTGACACATCTTTGGATTACATATCAAAGACCCTCACAAAGAACAAAGTTGGACATCATCCACATTAAGCTCCCTTCTCTTTTTTTTTTTTTGCCCATCTCCTGTTCCTCCAGAATTTTTGGTAATTAATGGGACCTGAGCTTACTATAGATAGTCTTTAATCAGAATGCCTGGAATTCATTTGAAATTCTCAGTGACAAGTAAAAAACACTAATTTTGTATAATGAATATGAACATCTCAATTTTGGACAGCAAAGCAGAAATCTAAAGTGTTTTCCTGCCCTAGAAGTTACAGCTGCTCGAGGTGCATTGAGGGACAAAAGTCAACAGAATTATGGGAGAGCATCACTTACACAATACATATATGTAACACTAACCTGAATTTAATACAGTTAAACCCAGACAGATCTCACACACACAGTAAGTTACTAGCCACTGCTCATCACCCATTTTCAGCTCCAGTAGTTAGGGGGAAAAAAATCATCAACCATTCTGGCCAGAATCTGGAGAATCTTCTATGGCAGACTCCTGTTTTGCTGTCACAGGCTCCCTCCTCAACTGCTCTGCCATCTGCCAGGCAGCAGCCAAAGGAACAGCAACTGTTTCATCGCATTAGCCTCTCCTGATTTGCTACTCCTCAACCCATTCATCACACGGAATGCAGCTCAGGAATTACCTCTTTAACTCATTTAAAATAGTTTGCTTCTGATTGCTTTATTCTTGCAAACTTGCTATGCATTCAAGATGGTACTATTGCTGTTCTACACGAATGTTAACTTCACACATGTAAATGAGGTCTTTTAACTGTATTGTTTCTAACAATAAAACTGGAAATATTATTGATGACAAGATAAAACATAAAGTTATCCAAAAGGATTCCACAGGGTGTTTTCTGATTGCTTAGGTGTGGATTTTTCAGGAGAGTGTTGCTTTAAAAACTCAAGAACGCTAAAGGCTTGCTCTTTGCTTAATAACATTGAAATACCAGTCAAATTTAAAATTTAAAAGTAACCTACAATTCTATATTCAAAGCGTACATTAAAATGCATCGAAGTATATAGGAATATCCACAAAATACTTTTTTCCCTCATTTTTGTTGCACAGACCAAAATAGACAATGTATTTGCTAGCAAAAATTTATCCTTCCTTGGTCAGTAAATCAATTTACTTTTTGGTTTGGCACAGTAGTAAACATACAGAAGGCCCAGCTGAACTAGCATTTAGCGCTGTAGGCTCTATCTAGACAGAAAGCATTACCTCTCCTTTGGAGGTTCACTTCTAGACCTTGAAGCTTGCTTTTGGTCCGGGCCCATAGCTGGCTGCGACACTTCTGCTCCTTTCCTACGGTCAGGCTGCACACTGGAAGAAGAGATTTCCTGTGATGAGGCAGCTGCTGTACTTAGGGGAGTCTGTGACCTCGATCGCTCTTGAAGTCTTGCTTTCTTTTCTCTGGGTGCATCCGAGCTCGCGCCCGTCGCCGTATCACTCAGCGTTCCGTCCTGACTGGGCGACGGCTGTGGTCCGCTTCCAAAAAACCACGCTCCAGATTTCGTTAGGATTTCTTGTTGCTTTCGACATAAATTGCATACCCACATAACCTAGTTGAAGACAACAAGAAGAGTCAGTGCAGCTGTCTCCCAGAGCCCGGCATGCATGCTCACTCCCGCCGAGCAGGTACGACCTCTGCCTCTCTGAGCTAGCGAGGCTGGTGCCATGACAGGACCCAGAACATGCTGCTCCACTGGCTAGAGCCAAGCATCCTACAGGCACATGCTATGCGAGCTTCTCCAAAATGTGTTGTCAATATACATCAGTCCTACCTGTGGCAATCCTCCCTCAGCCCAGCCCTAGTTCTCCTCTGAACAGACACCATGAGCAGTGCTTGTTGGGGGGGTTGATGCAGCGGGGAGTGGGTTGGGTTTTTTCCACTGGTGTGGATCGCTGTCAGGACAGACAAGCCCACCAGACTGTAAGCAGGACTTGTACCTCAGGGAGCAGTGTCCTGCCCAGCTAACTCCCAACTTCTGTGGTCACAGAAAATTGACATGGTATTTTCTTATGAATTAATTTTCTCACATTAAATAACTCAACATTATCCTGCAAATAAATTCATTACCATGAATGATTTTAGCTACACCTACTGCAACTACTTAGAGGTGTAAAGTAAAACCTTAAGACATCTACTAACAGAAAACCAAATACATCAATGAAAAGAATGCAAAAGTACCATATTTTGTACTACTTGAAAATTATCATCATTATCTCTTTCAGTGATAGCTGCAAATAATAAATTAACAAACACGTGCCCCTGTAAATCACAATTTAACTAAACTGTGGTGCCTAGGATTTTTTTTTTTAAATTGGGGGGTTTAATTCCTTACACACACATACACAGGAGCACACACATTAAAGAAAGACTCTGTGTTTCCAGCCTGTATACTGTAGAGACTGTCTTATGTACAGGAGCAACTCACCAGAGAAAAATAAACAGTTAATCAAGACTGAAGTATGTGAAAATTTAAGACAAAATTTAGACAAAATAAAAAGCAGTTTTCAGAAAGGAAAAAAAATAGGCAAAATGTATGAAGGATGTAGAAGAGAGAGGATTTTTTGTCAAAAATAAAAATAGAGATGAGAGGAAACAAAGCCGATTATTATTAAGGAAAATGGTAAAGAAACTCTCTTCATTTAATATGGAAGGTATATAGGAATGGGTAAAATTGCAATGAAGCTAAGAAGAATGGCAGAAGTTGGAAGGAAAAATATGCTTGAATTATTTTGTAAATACAGGAATGATGCAACAGTCACAAAATTGTACACTGCTGAAAATTAAAAAGAAGAAGAAAAAAAGACTTAATGGAAGAAACTGAAACAGGACAAAGTTCTGTTACTGAGCTCTTTTACTTTCTGGCCTGTGGAAGTAGGGCATGGCTTACAAGGCACAATGAAAACTTTAAGCATTTCACATATTTAAAATAATAAATTTAAAACCTTTATTTAAAACACTCTAGAATAGACTATCTTTGTAGGTCTGAAAACTACAACAGAACTTCCAAGTGCAGTCCTGCACTGTTTGACCAAACCACACAGAGAAGACATCCAACTCTCTACCCTCTGTCAGGATTGTACCTTTATCAAAAGATGACTGTTATATTTCTTCTTTTTAAGAAGGATAATAAAGTATCTGCTAATACTTTAATTTAAAAAGACCCAACCTTAATCAAAAGCTACAGTTATTCCAACAGGGGCATAAACATATATCATGATAAAAACAAACAACACTCAGTAGGATAATAGAAATGACAATTTTGACAAAGAGAAATTCTAGACCTTTAAAAAACAAAAAAAACCCTCGATTCCAAAATGTCTAATTGATTTCATCTAGTACACCTTGAAAACCAGCAATTCAGTTTATTAGACTATGTGTTCTAAATAGAACAGACTATCAGATTATTATAACAGGTATTCAAAAAAGCCAGCAAGACTAAAAGGAAAAAAGACATATTTTAAAATGCTTTTATGGGATCTGCCACAGCTGTTAGTTCACTAGACAGCAAAAGTGTGCATGCAAATGTGTCTGTGTATAAAATCTATGTCAATGTTATAAACCAGGGTCACTAACAAAAAATGTCATTACCTGAAAAAAGTGTTAATAAAAAAATTAATCAACTAGAGTTTGTTTAAAGGATAAGGAATAATTAAGTAAAAGTAAATTATCCTAATTAAATTGTATACATGTGTATATATGCAAGCCCAGTAACATACTTCCTTTACAACTTAATGTATTCAATAATTTTAAATATGTATAAATTATGTAATAAACGTCAAGAAAATACTGTAATTTGCATAATCACCCTTGATACTGTAATTAATTTTATGCAAAATATTATGAGATGCAAACAAATGAGAATAGCTAATGCACAAAGAGACTCGGAAAATACAGAATACTGAAAGAAGAAATACTAGACAAGTAAATACAAACCCATTTTCTTACAGCTATTTTTAAACTCTGCATCTTGGACACAATACATAGCAATCACCACAGATTACACACATAGGAAATCTGTATTATACTCACATAGAAGCTATACTACCACCCATGTTTAGGAATCTCTTCAGGAATTAAAAAATGCTACCGTCGCCTTGAGAGCTATTCAGTCCAAAAGGAAAAATAATAAAAGCTCTTCTTTGAGAGGAAAAAAAAATCAAAAATTGAGGTGACAGAAGAGTTTCAGTGACAAAACTGTATATTGAAAAACATTTTTAGAGAAGTATGTGGAGCAAGCAATTCAGCAGCATGCAGGAATTATATCCTGATTGAATATACTGGGATGTGGTCCAAACTAATCTAAACTAAAGCAGGTCCATGTAATAACTTATCTTAACAATCCACAGATGTTAGGCAACCAAACAAATGCTCTGATGAAGGATTACAGCTCTCTAATGTGGCTTCTGGACCTCCACGCGGTGCATCAGTAAAATGAAGAGTGTAAGACAATTTTACTCTGGCCTGTCACTCCAAAAATAGTTTCTGTTTACTCTCCTCTGGACAGTGAGCTCTGATGAAGTGCTACAGTAAGTCATTCAAGACATCTAGAGCCTGGTTTTTGTTTCTGTGTTTGTTTCTGGTTTATTGCATCCTTGCACATGTCAATGCAAATTCACATGTGAAGCTATTAAAAAGAGCCAGTAAAAGGGGGTTCTTCATTCAAAGGGTTCATATGCATGGCTCTGGAAAAAGGTGCATTTTCACAGCATAGCAAAGGGTTTTGGGCTTTACTGCTGCATAACAAAAAAGACCAGTGGCACACACAGGACTCAGCACACGTGGGTCAACAGTTCCCACACAGATTCATGTGGAAACTTGACAGGCTGCGTGAAAACATGCTAGAAGGATCCCATGCTTGCCTTCATGTGGAATACAGAGTATTTCATTCACAGAAAAAATATTCCTCAAACTTACTCTTACAGGTACTGCTGAATGTGATCCACAATGAGGAGGAACAGTATTCCTGTACTAACACAACATGAAATTCCAACTTGAAAGAGCCCATAGTAAGGAATATATATATATATATAACTACACACACAGAAAAAGCATTTTCATTTACAAAAATAAGAACATTTATACATAATTACGTATTTCAAACCTGCATTTTAAGATGCAGAAGAAAGGCTTTTTTCCAAATTCAAATTTGGAAACTTCCAAACATGCACTGGTAAGCTAAAGTCATGTTGTGGGGGGCACAAAAGCTATACCAAATTTATGTGACACATGCCAGGCAAAATTCAGACTGAGGTCAGAGCAAGTTCCCCAAATCCTTCACCCAAGCCCAGATTCTGAGGAGGGTCCATAAGGAGGTTTATGCTTCCTGAGTTTAGAAATTGAAATCCCACAGTTAGGATGTCTCCCATGCATCTTGCTTCATCCTTGTGCAGCAAGTTAGGTAACAAGTGTGCTAACAGAGCAGGCCACAAGCTATTCCTTACTGAACCTTCACACTACTTTAATTATAAATGTTGTACACACAACATTTTTTCAGGTTGTTGATTTAATTTACATTCCTTCTATGCACTTTTGGAAGACACTAGTTATTTCAGACAGACCTAATTAGGCAGACCCTCTACACTGCCTGAGGCACCATTAACTTCAGCAAAGCTCTGCCATCACCCTACAACTTATCTCTTGAAAGTCAAAGAGAAGAAATTATAACAATTACTTGCTACAAAATTTTCACTCATAAAATTAAGTTAAATTATGCACCACTTAATGTTTCTGAGATAATATAAAAACATGCAGCAAACCATGAAATTATTATACAGCATTGCATTTATCTCTTCTGCTATATCAAAATGATTTTTGTAATAAAATCCTAGCTAAAATGTCGCGCTCGCTTCACTCTATTAAAATATAAATAAATAAAGCTGAAAATCTGCTTGAATACTTACATTAGTCCAAAATCTTAATAAATAAATAACTCTGCCTTCCTAATGAATGTGTGCTCACGAGTCCAAGTTTACATTAAATATATTTTTCAAAATGTACAGACAGCTGGATGCATCCAATAGCTCCTGCTCAGCAAAAGGGAAGGTATTCCCCCCAACTCCCTCCTCTCTTGTTCTCCTTTCTTCCTGTCTGGCTTTGTTCTCTCCCTTACTTGCCCACAGGAGGGTTCCCTGTGCCACACACTCACTTGTATACTGTTTCTTGGTGGTCAGGTTCTCCCAGGAGCCACTTGTATCTAAAAACATTGCAGAAACCTATCTGTATTTTCTTAAACTGGTTTCATTCTCTGTCACATCTATTTTTTTTCATGGAGGGAATGATGAGTAGTGAAATCATGCGACCAGAAACAGAGGCAAATGGGGATAAGGGTATGTTTACCTACAGCCCTGTCTCAGCATCTCCCATTAAACTACATCTTGAAATGACACCAATTCTAGCACACCAGACTTGCACAGAAACATTTTTGAGCACTGAAGCCAAATGACACAAAATAATCAGTATCTGGCCAGGATCTCTGCTCTATTTCAAAGCAAGGTGGCTTCAAACAAGTTGCTTCCTGGAGGGGCACCACAGAGCACTCCAACTCCCCAC